CATTTCAGAGCTCTTTGAGCATGATGGTGTCACATGTGTGGCCTTAGCAGGAAGGCCATAGGACTCCAGATCCCCACGTTGGGCATCAGTCTCCCAGCAACACTTACACAAAGACACAAAGCCCAGCCCGGTGACCACTTCACTGACAGCTGCAGCTAGACTTCCTGGTGCGCCCAAACATTGGCTTACTCACCTGTGAGGACTTGATTCCAACCTGTTTTCCAGCCCTCAGGAAACAGAAGCACATGTGTTTTCTCATCAGGTGCATGAAGGTGCTTCCCCTGCGTCTTTTTCTTCCCAACAAGGAAAGGCATTCTGGTGGGGAGAAATCCTTTCCCAGCAAGTGGTTTTCCTGGAGAGGGGATGGTCCAGGAAAGGCAGCTTTGCTCCTGGACAATACCCTCTGAGATGATAGGAAGTGGGGCCCACCATACTCCCCAGGATCCCAGAGAAGTAGGGCCGGGAGGCCAGAGTGCTTGTTGTTAGCCCCAACAGGAACAAAGGCAAGCAGGTGGGAACACACAAACAGAGGAAGTCTGTGATGAAAAGCAGTGATGGCCCTAGATCCACGGCATGAGAGGGACCCCAAGTCTGGGGATAAGACCAGGAAATTAGTCCTTAGGACCTCAGCCATTAAGACACGACTTATAGGTGAGACAGGCGGGGGGCATCCTGACTATGTGGCATTCTGACCACCGTGGCTAGAAAGAGGTGCCTCTGTGTCAGCAGGAAACAGCCACTGTAGAGGTGTGACTAACAGAGGGGAAGTATGCTTAGTAAACTGTAAAATTCTATACCGTGTTTGTTCACTGTCATTCTCTGTCAAAGCATTAGCCTTGGAAATTGTAACAAGTGGCAAGGCAGATGACGGCATTATGACAAAGAAATAGGAGCACCAATGTGCGTCTGTTGAATTAGAATTATTGGCCGTGGGGAAAGGGTGTAGAATAAAACTCAGCTCAACCTCCTATGATGTGTCAGAACAGCCTGTGGGCATATTAGCGGCCTCGGGTCTCATTCAGAGTCCTGAGGGGCCTCACACACTCCCAAGTGAAGGCCCTGGACAAGCAAACTCTTTTAGCAGATGGGAAACACCTGTTTTATTCATTCTTTTATTCATTCAACCAGTGTTTATTAGATACCTATTATATGCCAGGTCCTGTGATAAAAAGTGTGATTACAACTGTGGTAAACACTATAAAAGAGATATACACAGTGCTATACGGGCCTATAATCAGGACACGTAAGATATATAATCAGCTATATAAGGGTCTATAATCAGGATAACTGAACGAATCTTGTAAAACCAAGGACGTGTTGATAATTAAGTTGAGATCCAAAAATGAGTAGACATTAACTAGATAGAGGGGAATAGGAAAACTAAGCATAACAAACCGTCTGTGCGAAGACTTTGCAATGGACTAGAGAATGGCATATGTATCAGTTAGCTTTTGCTGTGTAACAAGTCACTCCAAAATTAATGGTTTAAAACTATATCAATTTTTTCTAATCCATAATGTTGTGAGTAAGAACTCTGGCTGAGTTCAGCCAAGTGATTCCAACAGTCTGGGTCAGACTGTGGCTGATCCTGGCTTAGACTCATTCACATATCTTCATCAGTAGCCAGATTAGGGAGGAATTGACTGGCCACTGTCTGAGACTCCTTGATTCTGTACCTTAGTGGTCTTTTACTCTCCAGCCAGCTACCTTCGGATTCCTTCACACGGCAGTTGAAGGATTCCAGGAGGCAGCAAGAAAGGACCAGCTCCAAAGGTCAAGCACTTTCATATCTCTGCACTTGCTACTGTCCCACTGACCAAAAAGCAAGGCACGTGGCTAACACCAGAATCAGTGTGGGGGGACACTACCCAACATTGTGGTTATAGGAAAGTGTGAACAAATTGAGGGCTATAACTGCAGCCATCTGCCACCATGCATTCATGGAACTGCCAGAAAACAGGAAGACTAGGGAGTGAAGAGGAGGTAAGCACGGCACAGGATGAAGCTAGAGGTGGCAAGGGCTGGGACATGCAGGGTTTCAAAGAGCTGTAAGAGAGTTTGGTCTTTATCCTACTGGCAGGCAAGCTCTCTGGTTTCTGATTCTGACTTGTGGGCCTGGTCATCATACATGGATCCTTTGAAGGCTCAACTGACCTTGGGGAGCAAGCAAACTTTCTGAGCTTAAGGATCTGAGCATAGACTCTGGTGCATGGTCCAACCCCACAACCCCTGCCCTTAGCCTATACAGCTGTAAATGCCCCAGGCTGCTCCCTAGTCTGGGAACAATCTTCTCACCCTTCTCCACAAGGCCAGTTCCTACCTTCCCATGGCTCAGTGGTGGCACTAACACCTTTGGGAAGCCCTCTCTGACTTCTCTAAGACCCAAGACCAGGGACACATAGAATGCGACCATGAGGCCTAGGGACCATGCCTATGGTTTCATTATAGTAACCTTGGCTTTCCAGAACCAAGCCCTGCCAATGTGGCACAAAACCTTTGTGCTGGCACAGGACTTCACCCATGTTGTACCTATCTTTTTGCCTGTTTGCCTCCCACTAGACTGTGTTTCTTGAAGGAATGCCCATAACCCCAGTGTCTGCACATACTTGAATAAATAAAAGAATGAGCGGACGATTCCATCACTAAACAGGGCTTTCCTTTGAAAGCCCCAGCCAGCCTTTATTAAAGTCTTCTGTCACTGCAGTTGTGATGAGGGGTTCTTTTCAACTAGGTCAGGATCTCTGGTGCCTCCCAGTTCCAATATGAAGCCACCCACCCAGAGGAGAGAAGACTGGAGAGAGGACTGGCTCAGGGAGACAGTCCAAGGCAGGGCAGTCAGAGAGTGAAGACCAAGGAGTTCTTTGGGGACAGTGTCATACTGCCATTTACTGTAACAGGAAAAGGACCAGCTAGCTGTCTCCTCCCACAGTTGGAGCAGGCCTTGTTTGAGTGCTAGAACAGCCAGCCAGAGGCACTAAGTAAGACCCACCTGGGGACTAATGCCATGCAGCCAATTGATTGGTTGACTTCCTCCCCACAGGGTAGAAGCAGCTCCTCTGAACCAGTGGCCAGAAGAGTTCTAACCCTGCCTAGCAGTTCTGACAGAGACTTTTCCAATCCACCTCCTGGTCTTGCAGGATGATGGTATAAATCATGCTGTTTGCCTTTTGCAGAAAAGAAACCTGAAACTCAGGTAGCCCAGGTTTGGACTCATCAGCCATCTTAATGGTCATGGCCAGTCAGATAACAGACTACATTTCCCAGCCTCCTTTGCAGTTAAATGTGGTCATGTGACCAGGCTCTAGCCAATGAGACACTAGTGAGAGTGCCATAGCTATCACTTTAGGTTGGACTCTCACATGGTGGGTATGTGATTTCCTTTCCTGTTTCCCACTACTTGGCAAGCCATCTTGTTCCATATAGCCAAGGGCAACACCACAGAAAGATCGATCAGCATCAACATAGAAAGACCCAGAGTCCCTGATGTCCAGGCATACAACCTGGGAGCCACCATACCAGACCTGAACATCTTATGTCTGTGAGAATGAAAGAAATAGCCTATCTTACCACCTCATACCCATTAGGATGGCTAATTTCAAAAAAAAAAAAGAAGAAGAAGAAAGGAAGAAAATAACAAGTGTTGGTGAGGATGTGGAGAAATTGAAACTTTCAGGCAGTTGGTGGGTAAATGAAATTGTACAGCCACTGTGGAAAATATAGTATGGCCGTTCCTAACACAATTAAAAATAGAATTTCCATATGATTCAGCAATTCCACTTCTGGGTGTATACTCAAAGAATTGAGAATGGATCTCAAGAGATATTTGTCCACCTATGTTCACAGCTACATTATTCACAATAGCTAAAATATGGAACTGAGGAAGGAATGTGGTCTAGCCATATAATGGAACAGTATTCAGCCTTAAAAATGAAGGAAATTTTGACACATGCTACAGCGTGGATGAACCTCGAGGACACAATACTAAGTAAGCCTCTCATAAAAGGACAAATAAGTGTACTGTAGGATTCTACCTATACAAGGCCCCTAGAAAAGTCAAGTTCATAGAGACAGAAAGTAGAATAGTGGCTTCAGGGGCTGAGGGAGAGAGGGAAATAGAGAATTACTGTTTAATGGGTACAAAGTCCCAGTTTTACAAAATGAAAAGAGTTCTGGAGATGAATGGCATGGTACCATATTCTGAATGTATTTAATGAAATATACAATTAAAATGGTTAAGATGGTAAATTTCATATTATGTGTATTTTACCACCATAAAAAAAATTTCCAGAAAAAGGAAATAGCCTGTCTTGATTAAGCTACAGTTAGAGTATTTAGTGTTGCTGCTGATTCTACATCTCCTATCATATATAAAAATAGCCCAGGACGGAGTTCTGATTGTCCAGGACTGCCAGGGCTGCCTAATCACCAGGCAACCTAGTGTCCCAGGACAACAAAGCTGTGACCAGCTATTTTCTTGGAATAAGAGCTGGGAAAGCTTCCTGGAGGAGCCTAGTAGATTGCCAAGGCTGGGAAGGTAAGTAAGCACAGCAGATATTCTGGCAGTGTAGACACCAATAAACCTGTACCAGTTGTTAAAACAGTAAAATACTGCCAGGCACTTGATAAACAGCCACTCCCTAGAGCCACCCCACCCCTTGAATGTTCCCCTTCCCCAGCTATCTTGGTGTCAGACCCACCAACTAAAACTGCAATATCTGGCACACAAGTGGTCCCGGGATCTCACCCTTAGCTCTCGCCATTCAGACTCAGCAAGCCATACCACTTGTGGAAGACTCTGAACATCACCCCTGGCTTTGAGGCACCTACTCTCAACTGCCTGAAGGGAAATCAAACCCTGAACTTGGCATTGAGGGCGATGAGGGTTCTGTAAAGCAGACTTGCATTTCATTCCCACCTCCTCACTGTCCTCCCCAGTGCGCCCAGACCCCACTGAGCCCTGCTCTTGTCTGTCTAGAATGTCCCACAACCACACCCAGAGATTATTGCACTCTTTTATTTACAGAAAACACAGATAAAGCATTTCAATGTTCATTTAGCAAACTGATCCACTCTTTTGTTTTTTTCTTTTTGGCACAAAGAAATATCACAGATGGACCCCAAGATCAATCAAAATCATAAGATTCATCAGTCATCACTGGTCCGGGGGCAGCCACAAGACTCAGACAGACAGACAGCATCACCACAGATTGGAAAAAATAAACAAGGTCCACGTTCACCTCACAGTAAAAACCTGCTCACCGACAGGCAAGGGCGGGCAGGAGGGGGCAGTTTCTCTGCTCTAAGGGGGGTCATGGTCCTCAGGGCAGGAAGCAGGAATGCAGAAGGGATGGACACCATTCATAAATTAGAGAGAAGTGGTCCTTTTGTTCAGATCTTCTTACCTTGTGTAAGTAAGACAGTGCAGAAACTACAATACCCCGACCACTCATCCATTCAAAACTCTTGAGAAGCTGTGTGGCCTCTCCTCGTGGGCCATGTGCGTGTGTGAGAATGTGTGAGTGTGGGGCTTGTAAACATTGTCACCGTCCATGTAGAGACCCAACGTCCATGTGTCTGAATGGGGCGAGGTGGGGCTCATACCCCACTTCCCACGCCCTCTGCCCCAATGATTCCCGTCCAAGACGTAGTGCAAATTTCAGAGACAAAAAGAGGCAGAAAGAAGTGGGGTGGGCAGGGGGCAGGAGGACACAAAGGCGGGGTGGGACAGGGCGGGGGAGATAAGGCAACAGTTAAAAATGGTCCATTTTATCAAAACCAACACCAAGTGCCTCCCACCCTACCCACGGTGCCCGCGTCAGGAGAAAGGGCGGAAGTCCCGCTCCTCCACCAGGCTGACTGAGGGGTTCTTCAGCTCCTCCTCTGAGCTGGCCATCTTGTAGCCCAGCTGGGCCAGCACCTGCTGACAGGCGTTCTGGGCAAAGGCCACAATGTCGTAGGAGAGGCGGAAGCGCCACTTCTCGGCAGTGGCGGCCGAGTTTCTCACGGTGCCATATTTGTGCTTGCCTAAGGTGGGGTCGCCCCTCGTGTTGTTCTGGATCCAGCGAGCCACATGGCTGTCCAAGGGGATGCCCAAGAACCCGTAGATCTCTTCGGTCTTCTTCATGGGGTTCCGGGCCAGGTCCTCATAGCGCACTAACATGTACTTGCCCTTGAGCCAAGGGGGCCGCATGAGGCCGGTGGACACGGAGTTTGAGAAGTCCTCACACACTGTGGTCAGCTGCGTCACATCCAAGTTGTAGGGTTTTCTCCCGGTGCCATACCAGAGCCTCCAGAGCCGGTAGGTGTCGCGGAAGGTCTCGCTGCGCGAAGCCAGAATGCCACGAGGGTCTCGGACCAGCTGGATGACTTTGAGGTTTAACCGAGGATCTTCAACCAGAGCCCGCAAGTCATTAACCTCGGGCACCCTCACTGTCTTGATGGCCACGTGGCTGCGCTCGCGACAGGCCTCAGCAGCCACGGTCAGGTTCAGCAGGCCGCACTTGCGCACGCAGTCTCCCTCCTCCAAGACCAGGTCAGCAGCCCCTGGAGGGTCGCACACAGGCCGGGAGCAGAGGACCCTGCTGGCCCCTCGGCGGAAGATCCTGTCCGTGGTGTGGTTGACCGGCGGAGGCTTGATATAGTTCTCTAGGAAGTAGAGGTCACAGTCATACAGGCTCCGCAGGAGGTCGCGACTGGCACCCAGCATGACCCGCCGGTCGGCCGGGCTCTTGCCCTGGGTGAAGCGGGGGATGAGCGTGTTCTGGACGTGGTAAAGGGGCTCAAACAGGTAGAAGACGTCCAGGTGCTGGTTGAAGAGCTGGCCCACGAAGGAGGAGCCGCTGCGTGTGGTGGCCAGGATGAGGATGTGGGTTTTGCGGGACAGGTTGTAGGCAAAGGTGGGGCCCTCCTCGCACAGCCGCTCCGCCAGCCCGACCTCGGCCAGTCCCGGGCAGGTGTGGAAGGACTTGGCAGTGAAGGTGCGAATGGCGGTGTACTGGATGGCGATGGAGGCCAGGGCAAGGAGGAGGACAGCCTTCCAGGAACATTGCATGGCTGGGCACCTTCATGGGGCTGCTGCTCCACGGCTCCAGGTCTGTGGGCAAAGGCCATGTTCAGGTACCTGGCTTTGGCTTACTGCCTTGGAAGAGCTACCTCCAGGGGACCCAGGGAAATACCCTGCTCCCTGCCCAGTGCTCACACTTGCACCCAGAAGGCCTAAGCAGCTTCTACACCAGACTTCACCACTCTCAGGGGACTCCTGGGAGCTTCAGGGAGCTGAAAAAACACTCCTTGCACCCAGGGTTTAACCTGTAGATGAGTCCAGAGGCCCACTGGGCAAAAAAGCCTCACTCCTCCAACTCCCACACTAAGGGGACACTCCTGCATCAAGCCATGTCCCCCACTGCCCACTACCCCAGCAGCTTGCAGCCCCGTGAGCTAGTGCCCAGTTCCCCAGGTGGTCACCTTTCCTCTGTCCTCTGCCCAACCCTAGGGGGAAGAAGAGCTCATGTTAGCTGCCTCCTTCTGGCCCCTGCACATGGTCAGTCAGTGAGCTACCACCAGGGCCAGGAAAGGGAGACAACCGTGTCGAGTACTCTCCAACTTAGTCCAGATGTGGACTTCTGGGGCTCGTGGAGTCTCTAAGAGTCTCTGAAGCAGACACAGGGGTACAGAAGCCTCCCTTCCAAGACCCAGAATTGATTCCTGGCCACTGGGAGCAAGGCTCCAGGCCTCGGGCCCCGAAGACCCCCACATACACAGAGTGAACTGGCCTGCGGATAAGGAATGGGACCCTGGTTCCTCCAAGCCAGTCCTCAAGAGCCTTCACCCTTAGCCCCTTAGCCCCTCTGGCCATAGAAGGGAGTCTATGGAGGGACCACAGGAAAGCAGGGAAAGGGAAGGGCATGCCATGGGTCCAGGGCAAGGAGCCAGCCTGAGCGTCCTAGTGTCCCCAGGAAAGCCAGCTCAGTTTCCTGGCCCTGAGAGAGGGCTGAGGCTGCTCCCAGAGGGAATGTAGGAGGGCTTGACCACTTACCAAAGAGTGGCTGCTCCAAGCTGGGGAGTCCACAGGTGTCAGTGTCTCCAGGTCAAGCCACAGTCCTGTGACCAGCAGACTACCGGGAGACAGGGAGGGGAGGGGTACACAGGTGGAGGTAGGCTCCCAGTGCCCCGATCCCCACTCTTCCTCTCCCTGTGTCCTATGACCCAGTCTGCCCCTGCCCCAGGCCACGCCATGAGGACCTCGCCTGCTTTCCCAGATCTATCACTGGCTCAGAGTCCTAACCAACCCAGTTCCATCTCTTATTCCCCGAGGTCTCTCCCACTGAGTCGTGCACTGCACACATCCCACTCCCTTCACCTTCCTTGCCCACCCCACCCACATCCTCCTAGTAAGTCAGTCCCTCTGCTCTCATTGGACCAGTAGACAAGGAGGCTGGCATGCTTAAATTCCCACCTAAACAAGAGCTAGTGCCCCAAGTAGGCAGCCTGGCCCAGAGCATGGCCCAGAATGTTCTGCAGTTTAAATCGGTGAAACTATTCTGACCCTTGAAAATTCAACCTGTTCAGTGATTCTTGGGGGGGGGGGGGTAAGCAGAAGTCAGCAAGGGCAGAAGAGCTCACCCCAGGCCTCCAGTTGAAAGGTCAGCTCCAAAGCGACAGCTAGGCGGGGGAATCCTTCTTCCAACCACAGGAAGGCAGGAGACCAGCTACCTGAAACTCAAAGCAAAAGTGGACCAGGGTGCTGACCTGGGTGCTGACCTGACCTGGGTGATGCAGGCATGTTGGAGTTAGAACACCACAATGGCAGCATTGAATCTACTGAGCACTTCCCTCTCCCTGTGCCAGTTCATTTTCTCCTCACGAGAATGTCATGTGGAAGCGGTATCAGCTCGTTTCACAGGTGAGAAGGCCAAGGCGCAGAGGTGGAGTCATTGGCCTGGGTTAACCCCAATCTGGCAGCTTCCCCAGAGCCCAGGCTCTTTCCCTCTGAGGAGATTTGACTTTCTGTTCCTCTAGCTTAAACATACTTGGCCTTCAACTTGCATCTGATTCCTGTCCCCAGCCTACTCGTGCATGAGCAAAAGAGGGACCAAGCACTAGAAGGAGGCAGGTAGAGAACTCTGAGACAGGCGTGTTCTCTCCCTTTACTGTCTCCTCTTGTTGACCTGTTGGTTCCTGGCTGATGGAGTGAACGCATGTGCTTTCTCAATGTCCTTCCCACACCTTCTGTTTGGTGTAACTCCGCTGGAGACAGGGTGAGTAGATCATCCTTTCCCAAACTTGCAATGCTGCCTGGCTACTCACCCAACTTCTAGCACCATGTTATTCCCAATAACCCCCTCTAGAAGGTCAGCATCCTCATTCCCATTTTTCAGACAGAGAAATTGAGACCTGTTTTAATAGGAAATTCCCTTTTTTCCCTATAGGAATGGGTACCAGATTATCAAATGGCAGTAAATAAGGAAAGGGGCACAGTCTAGATTCTTAGGAACTTCTAAATATGATCAGAGAAAAACCACAACGCTGACCACAACCCAACCTTACCCCATGGCAGCAGAAGACACTGGCCTCCATCCCCGGGGCTGGCCCAGGAACCCAGGCAGAAGGCTTCTCTGCTCTAAACCTGACTCCCCTAAAAATTGCAGACTGGCTCTGCTCAAGTGCCATAAGACAAATGGGAATGCCCTTAAACAAAGAGGAAATGCCATCAATAGAGTGCTGGGCATTATCTGTGGGTTGTTTAGGAGTCCATTCTCTAGCAGCAGTGCCCTTCCACTTGGAGGCACTTCCTTTGTGGTTATTCACAGACATCCATGAGATATCCGGTTTCCAGGCACTGCTCTAGGCACTCTGAGTAAAGTAACGTGAGAGCAGGCAAGCACCTGCTGGGCAGTCACGGTGTTCCTCCCAGGTGTAGGCATTAGCTCATCTCACTCTCCTGCCAATGCTATGAGGCTACACTGTCACAACCCCATTTTACAGATGAGGATGCGGAGGCTCCTCAAGGTTTAATAACGTCTCCAAGCTCACACCCCTAATGAGGTGTAGAGGTAGGTTCCAGCCCAGGCAATGTGCTATGAAAGTCCATGTTCAAATACTCCTCCCTGATTCATCCCCTGTTTCCACTCATGTTCTACCCTCTTTGGTCCCCACCAAGACTGGAAATAGAACCCTTAAAGAGTCTCACTGAATTCAAGGATTCCAGTTCCAAAACTGGAATTCACCCTAGGGATTTCTTTCAAGAGGAGCATCTTGCCATCTTGGTGGGGAAGGGATCACTGAAGTGTCTGCCCCCCCCCACCAGAGAAACTTTAGGCCAAGGAGAGAAGCTGCTGCTTTGCCAACAAATCAGAAGTAACCGGGATGGCTCAATGTTACAGATCCCTAAGACAGTGAGATGCAGCTTCACCAGGTACAGCCTCGGTATCAAGAAGGGGAACGTGTTTGAAGGCCCAGCCACAGACCATCCCTGCCAGTCCCTGGGAGGGCAAAGCCAGGGCATGGGAACGGGAAGATAGGGGAAGTGAGGACCTTCTAGAAATACTCCCTTCTCTCCTGCCAACCTGGCAGAGCCAGGCTCAGGACTGGCCAAGCTTGCTTGGTATGCTGGAGGCATCTGCCCTGGAAACCAGAGGCCTTGGGGCCAGATCCTGTTGTTCCCAAGAGAGGGTTGGCCACTACAAAAAGATTTCTCAAAGTCCTGTTCCTCCAAGCCTGAGTGTGGCTTCCAGGGCCCCTCTTTGGGCTTCTAGAAGCCCCTGGCATGGCCTTCCTCCACCTCTGGTTAGTCAAAACCCAAGCAAACCTTGGACACAAGAGCCCAGAATCAATCATTTCTGCTGGAAGGCAAGGGAGCTAATGAACACTCACTCAAAGCAGAAAGCTCAGCATTCACTATCATTCAACCTCAGTTTTAGGCACAGAGTGGAAGCAGAGAACAACTCTAGAACTATGATTCACAGCTGAGAGCTCACGCCCTGAACCACGCCGATGGATCTGTCACTCAGCAGGTGTTATGGACCTGTGTGACTTACAAGCTATCTCTAAGCCTCAGTTGCTCCAAAGTGTGTATAACCTTAGACATGGTGGTAAGAATCAAAGGACTTAAAGCACTTAGTCGATGCCAGGCATGTAGACATGACACAGCTCTGGTACCAGCCCCAGTGCTCCCAGGTCAACCACTCACTGGCAGTGAGACCTTGGCTAGATTATTTAATCTTTTCTGGCCTCTGTTTCCTCACCTACAAAATGGGATAATTATAACAAAACTGTTATGAGAGCTAATTAGCTAACACAGTGCCCGGCAGTACATGTTGGTTAAGATCATCATCATAAAATGTCTGATTTGGTTTTTGTCTTGGGGAAGTGCCTAAGAACAAATCATCCCAGAGTCCACAGGTTCTGACTCCCTTTTTACACCCCCCCCGCCCTCCCCCACACACACCCACACACACCCACACACCTTTTTCCAAGCTGAGCCACGCCCCCCCCGTGGCTTTCCTGCTGCCCTCTAGTGGCCACATCCTGCAGTGCAGCCACCTAGTCCCGCACCGGCTGTGCTGAGAATTCCCGGGCTGTTGGCTGCAGATTCACCAGGATGCAGCCAGCGGGAGGTGATGTTGCAGGATGCAGTGAGATGTGATGATGGCACGCCCACCCTGGCTGCGGCCTCTGTTCTGCGCACCCCCACTTCCTCAGCCGCACACCAAGAGGCAAGCAGCAACAGGCTGCCGCACCAACACCCCTCCCTGGGGCAGGGGGCCCCTTCTCCCTCTCCAATTCCACTCTAGCAGGGAAGGAATACAGAACTGAATGTCACTGATGAACAGCCCACAGCTTCTGCCTTTCCCTAGCTGGGTGACCTTGGACTCACCCTCAATCTCTCTTTGCCTCGGTTATCCCATAGATTCAGTGACTGTAGGGCCTTGAAGGTCTGACGGCTGGAGTTTTCCAAATCCAAGAAGGCCCTGTATTCCACTCAGGGTCAGTAGGGGCCACCCTCACTCATGGCAGACAGGGGGACCCTCCATGGGGAGTAGAAAAAGCCCAGGCATCTTCTAAGAAGATAATAGGGCTGGGCATCACTGACCTCAACTCAGCCTGAGCTGTGGCTATCCCAGAGGGCCCCCAAACCACGGGCTCTGCCCTCTGCTGAGTTAGGCCCCCACCTCCTGCTTTGCAGAAATCCCATAAAATCCAGAATAGCAGCTCTTTATCTTTTCTGGACCATAGACCCCTTAGAACTACAGTCCCTCTTCCCAGAAAATCCCATTCATGTCCACAATTTTACACATGCAATTGAGAAGTTTCCTGGACTTCCAGTAGCCCACACATGGGCCTCCCTTCCCTTCCTTGGATGTTTAACCCCTTCATCATTAGCATTCCTCCCATTATCCAATATATATTATTAAGTAAAAAAAACCTAAGGGCCAGGCACAGTGACTCATATCTATAATCCTAGTACTTTGGGAGGCTGAGAGAGAAGGATTGCTGAAGGCCAGGAGTTCAAGATCAGTCTGGGCAACATAAGACCCCATCTCTACAAAAAAAAAAAATATATTAAGTGGGCATGGTGGGGCGCCTATGTAGTCCCACCTACATGGGAGGCTGAGACAAGAGGATCACTTGAGCCCAGGAGTTTGAGGCTGCTGTGAGCTATGATGATGCCACTGCACTCTTGTCTGAGCAACAGAGAGAGACTTTGTCTCAAAAAAACCCAAAAAACAAAAACTAGAGGCAGGAAACACATGTGTAATAGTATGTCACAATTTCTGATTTTATAAAAGAGGATGTACGTATATATTTGTATATATCATAACCAACCACTGCAAGAACCTGCACTGAACTGGTAACTCCCCAGAAGGAAGCAGAGTTTAGAAGACCAGGTGGGAGGAAGACACAGCTTACACTGAATTTTTTTACTCAGTTTATTAACTTCTGGGACAGAGTGAAGCCACCACTAGAGAGGTGACTGATGATAGAGTAGGGGTGTGAACACCAGCCCTCACACTGCACAGTGCCTCCCATCCCATCCATCCCCAGGGCACTGCCAGCCATCCTTCCCCTCCTGCCTTTCCAAGGCTCCAGGATTGAAGTCATTGCTTTTCTACCAGAATGGCTCTCTGCTCAGGTGGGCCAGTAAGGACAAAAGTCAGCAGGGGACTACTGAGACAGAGCAGGAGCAGAGAAGAGCCAGGCTTCAAAGGGGCCTGAGGCTGTGCAAGCAGCTAAGGCCTGAGTTAGGGAAATGACTCCTCTCCCAGCCTTTTCTCCCTAAAAAGTTTGTGAAATCATGGAGGAGGGGGAAGAAAATCAGAGAGGAAAAAAAACAAACAAACAAACCCTGAGTATCATATTTCTGCCCAAACTGAACCAGGATGGGGGAGCCCTAAGGTTCTGTGGTCCCAAGAACTGGAGCAAGCGGCAAGTGAACTGGGAAGGCAGAGAGGAGCTGGCAAATAGACCTCTAGGATGGAGACTGCAGAGAGGAAATGCTTAATCCCTGGCTCCGGTGTAGCCAGTACTGATCCACCATAAATGTTTGTTTAGTTAAGGCTAAAACACATTAAATAACAAGGTGGGGTTTTTTTCCCCCCTCAGGAAAATGAGGTGATGAAAATGAAGCAAGGAGAAAACAAGAGTATAAAAATCTGAAAGAACCAGAGGCTAAGTTAGTGTACAAGAGTCAGGCCATTTGTGGACTGCTCATATGGGTTAGAGCTCCCTGGCAGCCAGTGGGAAAAAAGCATTTCATTTACACATTTCACAGGACCCATGAGATAAAGATTAAAGCATTTGCTCAAGAGTGGTATGGCTATTCCTGACACTGAATCTAGTGCAAAATTTCTCCTGAGAGGTCTCCTACAGAGCCTTCATGTGTACCACCGTGAGCCATGTCCCCAAAGACAAGTTTCACAGGGCTCTATCCGAGAGCATCCTTCCATGTGAGCAGTATGGCAACATATAATTCAGCCAGCCCCATCATTCCAGGGGGGTGATCTGATGGGGTCTGGACTCAGCCTCTGTAGTCTGGGTCAGTTCAGGGGTGACTGGCGGGACCAGTGCTTCTCTCTGAGGTTGTGCCCACTTCAACATGAAACACTGTAAAGTCTATGGACCTTCTCCCCAAAATATGCACCAACACAAACCTAGTGTTTGTGGACAATCTCTAGAGTTCCTGGGTTCTGCAACCCATCCATGGGCCCCACAGGCAATACC